GCGCYGGATTTWCACTGCTTTTTAAAGTAGTATTTATCAGAACGACATACACTTACTCATTTTGATTGAGTGCAATATAATCTGATGGTTTTTAGGTCTAGCACTGCCCACACGGGGCTGCAGTAACCCTTCCRCATGCAGAGCCCATTACCTTTATTATTACCTGTGGACCAGCAGCCAGGGAAGACTCAAACCCTCAGCCATAAAGGTTAAACTTAAGGTAAAACGCATTTTTTCATAACTTTCAATCCTCCAAGTTGCCCCAAAATAACAATCTGTGGTCCCTAACACAGACACAGCGAGCTCTAGCTTACAGGAATGCCTTGGGATACGCTCACAAATATTTAGGATCAATTCCGAGGTTAACTGGGGTTTAAACTCAGCTCTGTCAGGTTTCATGTTGAAAAGAATTCCCGAAAAATCTGGGAATTAAACTATCCTTTGCAACAAGAGACAACTTCAGTTTGGAAAACATCACATGAAAGTTAGGCCTGAGCCTGCAACTTAAGGAAAGCAGCAAATGTTACACCCAGCTGTAAGGATGGCTGCTTTCGGGCTCTTGAATGATTAAAAAAAGAACCVCAAAGATTCATTAATTTAAATCATAAACTAAAGGAAATACATTCAATCTTATGCCTACTTAACAATGCATTTAGTCGCTTAAAGAAATGGAGAGCAAACAATTTTGCTAATACAATTTCAGCCACAGCGTATCAGACGAAAACATGCCCAGAACAGAAMTTAACAAGTCCTATCTTTACATTAAATAGCCTGCCAAACTAGGGCATGGTAACAGCTCCTAAATATCACAGCAAAAATAATGAAAATTACACAAAAACAAACCAAAAAGGATTCACTGGCTCAAAGTGACAAAGTCAGAGGAAGAAAATTAAATTTCGAGTCTTTTAAACATTATTTTATTGGTCCTCCTCAGAGTCCTACTTCGCTGTAACTTTTATTATGCAGAAATGAATTTTACCTTGCACCCTCTACACCACATCTATTATTTTGATGCCTGTTCCTCCAATATGGGAGTACATATCCTAAAGGCAGCAATATTCTTAGCTCTACCCTTTAAAACCATAGATGGTTTGAAAGTATCTGCAAAGAAGTCCTGAAGTAAATAGTATTTCTCAGTAATTTTTTCCCTGAGGCATTATTTTTGTATTGACTACAAGGTACAGCTAATATATCTGAGAATTTGGGAAAGTTTAGTCRTAAGTGGTCAATGCCCTGAACAACTCTACCACCTTCAGATATGCGTTATATTGGATTCCAGTTTATGATGCTTTCTTTGTAAAGAATATATTTTAAGTAATTTTTCCATTTAAGAAAAAAAAGCTGTTTTCTATCGGCATTTTTGTCGGAGCAATTCTGGAACTGCACACATTAAAATAAAATCTATTGCAACATAAATAGAGGTGTTGCTTTATTATATACATGTATATATACGTGATATATTATCACCCAAGAAGGGCCATCTAAAACACCACAGTTGCARACATTTAAGACTGTAACAAAAATGACTGAGACTCCAGTATCGGTTTACTATCCTTCAACAATTTCCCTGACAGTGGAGTCAAATAATGTTGAATTATGGACCTTCTTGCAGGAAGTCTTATTTCATGTTCATTTTTTGATCATTTCCCTCATAGTTCCTATAGGAATCTGGCTCTTAGCCGATTTGCCTTTAAAAGTTTCTGCGTCCGTAATTGGYTTGTGTATTATTAAATTGTAATTTTTCACAAGCAATGCTACTGTGGATGCACTCAACAAGTTTATTTTGAGCAAGAAAAATACTGTTTCATCCCTATAAAATCTATCTTATGCGGCTAATGTACTTTATTTGGATGTGGTGGCTACTCTGTAACATGTTTTCCTTAAAGGACTTTTCTAAAGGCTTTCTGCAGACATGCTCTTGGTAGGAGAATTTTACAGTTTGGACTAGAGCACCTGGGTGCCAGGGTGATGTGGCTTCAACAAAACAGCCCCACAGTAACAGGTCAGGATTACCTACAAAACTGAATTTCTGCTGTCACACTACAGTCACTGTTTGGGCTTTTATTTTTAATCAGAGGGAGTTTTCCCAGACACATCACGCAACAGCTGTGTTCTAAATCTTTCCGGGCTCTGACAAACATTTGAAAATTTAAACATGCAAATGTTTGAAAAGCTAATGATTAAAAAAGGTTTATTTTGAAACTTTTGAGAATGGCTGCAATTCTTCAGCTCGATTTTTTTTTTTTTAAAGTCCCGGGGTCTGGTTGATTTTGAGTTCAACTATTCCCAGCAAAAAGCCCAAACTCCTGCCTTGCACTTGTGGAGCCGTGACGGTAAACACCAACTCCGCAGGTCTCACCCTGGCAGGCAGCGGGGTCGAGCCCGTGGGAGAAGGATGCTATTTTAGTGACCTAGTGCCACTGAGCTGGTTAAATCACTGAACAATGGTTAGTGTTATAGGGCTTTACTTTGCAAAATCTAGCATTAGTGTCATTGCTTTCCATTAACCGGGGGGGACTTAAAGGCACTGGCTTTGAGGGGCCTATAGGGAAAGAATAAATAAGGGGAAACCAATAAATTAAAAGAAAAAAAAACACCCTGTTAACTGTAACCTTTACTACCACAATATAAGAAAATGTAATTAAATCCATAATAAAAGCTTTTTACATACTTACTCTTTTACTACTCTCCCAAGCAGAGCCGTGGGCAGGCGGGGGGCCCCTCKCTCCCACCGCCCGGCCCTGCGCGCCCGCGCATCCCAGGACCGCGCAGCCATAAACGCGCCCTGCGCAGTCACATCCTAATTAGCCGCCCCGGCGACCAGCACTCAACACCTTATTATTGAACCATTAGTGCCCCGATACTGCCGGCCGCGCCGGGGCCGGGCTTGGCACCGCGGTTTAGCGGAGGGCGCGGGGGCTGCGCATCCCCCCGGTGAGCCCCCCGCGGGTTTGATCGGCCCGCGGGGAGGGGGGAAGGTGGAAAAGCGCCGTGTTTGTGCTTTTTCCCTTTTGGGCGGGGAAAGCAGAGCCCCGCGGGTGCGGACAGTCGATGGCCGGTGCGACCCGGGGCACAAGCGGGGCCGCGCAGACTGAGCGGGGGACGGTGCCGGGCGCGCAATGTCCGCGCTCCGAGCCACAAAAAAGGGGGGCAAACACGCCGACCCCCGGCAACCCCGAAACTATAGCTTAATTTCTTTAGCTTTCACTTTAATAAAATAATGATTCGTTGGGAAAATGGGGTATAAATCTTCATTTTGGAGGCAATTAAAGTGTTGATTTCATTCGTGCCCCTGAGCGATTCTTGTAATTTGCTCAAATAGCTTTATGTACCCAGCACTCCAGAGCTTTTAGAAACCCATTTTCTAGTTAGACTTGTTGGATTACAATTTTTATTCAACAGCAGAGAGCCGAGCTTCCCYCAGCTAGACCCTGGCTGGAGGGTTTCCCTGGCTCCAAGGCGCAGCGCGGGGCCGGCAGCTCCCCGGAGCATCCTCGCCAGCCCCGGGTACCTCCCTGCCGCACCACCCTCCGCCCACTCTGCCAAGCTTTTCCCCTGCACAGCAGGATTGGGTGGGAAAGAAAAAAAAAAAAATCCCTTCAAAGCAAAGCAACCCACCTATGCGCATATAAAACGGTTTTAAAAAAAAAGTTCGTGCCTTCCTTCAAGCCTGCCTACCCTGTCACGACACTACCCGATAGCCTTTGGCAGATAGGAGAAAATATTTCAGATACCGCCGACACTGCAGTGCAACGCACCTTCATGTCGGTGATCTATAAAATAACTCCCAGCTGACAGTGCCACTGATAACAGCAAAGCAGCTGAGGAAACTCCTGTCTGCTTGGCTGCGCCTTGCTTGAACAAAAGGAAACCTCCAGAGTCAGGAGCAGATCGCTCCTAACATTGTATTTATGAAGCTGATCATAAAGAAGAAATAACTTGGGGGGGGTTAACCAGGGATTTATTTTTCGTGTGTGTGCTTGAGGTCCCCTCTCTCACAGGCAAAGCACTGCTACCCCTCGGTTCAGAGAAAACAAACAGACCGCGAAAACCCCACCGTTTCACCCAACTCGAATAAAAACCAAATCTCAGTCACTACCACCACCAAGGAGCTTAATTTAGATCTGGGCACCTCCTGCATTAGCCCCAAACGCTCCCATGAAAAGGCAAGGATCCCAGTCCGAGCCCAGCGGAAGGAGGAGGGAAGGGAGAGGGACAGCCACCTCTCCCCACTCAGCTCACCCGCATTTCCCACCCGGCTGCAGCCGACATTAAAGGCCTGAACCATCCCAAACAAAACCTGGACAACCGTCACAGCCACGCGAGGCTTTGCTGGCTTGACTTGGCTTTGACTATATTTATTTTTTTAAAGAGAGGGCTTGAAAACTTGAAAGATCAAGGAAAAGAATTTAAAACCTGAATCCCATTTTATTTTCTCCCTTTTTTTTTTCTATTAAGTAAAATAAAATGGGCRCGTTTGCAGCAGGCAGGCGTGCACAAAGCAATGTTCACTCAAGTCTAAAAGCGTTCGGCCAAGGAAAACTGACAAGACGGACTAATGAACCGTAGAGACGGGAAGAAAATAGCCAGTATTTGCTAGATTTCAAACCTCTCTGTCTTCTCTGGACCACCTATCTCGGATTTTATTATTATTTTGGTCAACGACTCCAGCCCTTCCTTCCCTAAGCTACCGAGAAGCCAGCGATTCACAGRCACCAGTTCTATTACTGGAAAGGGTAAATAAAATAAAGACAAAAATTAAAAGCGACAAGAAACAGGTCGAGTTTGCAGGCGACGCTTTTACAAGCTCATCTCGCCAGGTCGAATCTGGGAGCAAGCCTTAATGAAGCAATAATAGCCACATTATTCAAAAATTTTCATTTCGATGGAAATTTATCTAAAAGGGACTTAATCATATGCAAATAATAAAAGGAGGCGTAGTGACCCAGTGAGCGATCTGCATACAAATTTTAGCGTGTGCGACGTTGGCGAGATCATACCTGATCCGTTAGATTTGCTGATCTTGTTATGTCTTCACTGTCCGATTTTGATCCGCCCTCTCTATCGTCTATGACCAAATCGATAGGCATTTTTCCTTTCAAACAGCTAATATACCGGTGGCAGAAATTGTCACATAATTCGTGTACCTACATTATGATA